CCAAGGAAGCATTGTACATTGATGGTGGGTAAAGGGAAGTCCCTTGCAGCAGAGGGCAGTAATCTACTTCCAATGGAAGAGAATGTCTGCAGTGATCAAAGCGAAGGTTCCAGCAGACAGGGGGCCAAATTCCATTCTGCCTGGATCCTAATAACAAGGAAAGACGACCCCAAATCAATGCCCTGACAGCTGGGTCATTTACAACAGCCCTATTCTGTAGTTTCCTCAGGGGCCGACTCAACAGTGGGTCCCTTCATAGGTACAGTCCGTGGGGGCAAGATTCGTGGAAACACCACGAGATCATACAAACACTTGGTGTCATATTATGTGGCTTACTAATCCTTAGTCACCTAAAAGCCATGAAGCTGATCAAATGGCTTGAAGGAGCCCAGCTGAAGACGTCACTGCTTGGCTGCAAAGCTAAGTGTAACAGAAGCTAGAAAACCACACAGTTGCTCTGCAACAGTGGGTTCACGTCAGTGTGATAGACATCATGTGCTCTTGCCAGCCATGTGTGCTCAGTGATACCCAGAGTGCCTGGCGGTTGCAGAGAATGACATAAAGAGAGGAAATATAGACAGCCTGGGCTACAGAGTGAAAGGAAAGGCACAAAGCTACACAGAGAAACCCCTGTCTTGGAAAAAAAAAAAAAAAGAGGAAATATATCCTTTCAGTGGTGGCAGGGAGACCACACCAGTCCTCTACCACATTCAGGGAAAGCCTGGCGTGCTTTGGCAGATGCGGACACTGTTACCAGATGCCAGATGTTTTTCATGATTTTCCCAGTAAAAGAGCCACCTCAAAGATGACAAAACCAGGACTTACTAGGTTGAACTTGAGGTATAAAACACCCCAAATAATAGAAAGAGACCAAAGTACCCACTTCACAAGTCATGAAGGACAACAATGAGCTGATGACCTGAGACGTACTATGGACCTTCTACCTGCTGTTATCGTCGCTCAGGAGCAGGGCTCATCCGGCAAAGAACTACTGAGGCAGGCTTTCCAGACCCGCTCCTATTCTCTGTGAGGTGGACTACGCCTTGAGAAGTCTCAGTGAAAGGCTTCAAAGAGACAAGCTCGTAGCAATGCCATGATCACCCAACTGCAGTTCCCAGCCTGAAAACGACAAATTAAAATGGAAAGATCCCTCAAACCAGAGCAGGGACATGACAGCAATTCATCACGTATGGATACAACCAATAGAACAGTAGACACAGAATGCCTGATGTGGCCCTGGGGAAGTCTGAACCAGCCCTGGATAGTGCACAATATCAGCTCCCTGAGGGGAGGACCAGGTTAGACATTAAATTTAACTGTCCTCTACCATGTTGTGAAAACGGTCTATCACGATTTAGGCAAAGACATATATAAAATTTGACAGTCACACCTCCCTATGGTCTCCTTTCTCTTTCTGTCCCCTGATAGATTTAACCCTGCTTTTCTTGTGATGAATTATATATACTGCTGCTGTAGCAACCAAATACAGCTGCCTGGTGCCTTGTCTCATGGAAGATGCAGAGTAGAGTGAGTCTAGAAGGCACAAGAAAGGCATCAGCCTTTGAAGGGGAACATGGGAAACATGTCAGTGTCTGAAGTCACAGTGATCTTGTCCTTGCAAATGTCTCCAACTGGAAGAGTAGGTGCTAGTGTGGGAGGTACATTCCCAGCCACTTCCTTTCTTTGAAGATGGTGAGACCTAGGAGGATGATAATGTCTAACAGACATGCAGAGAATGCCCATTGGAAACTAGTTAATACAGCTTTGAGTGCATGGACTCCACTTCTCTTCATTTTTTTCAAGTGTGAGTGTCGCACATGGTGGGCGCTGTGTGGGGCCTTGTCTTTCTGGCATTCCCAGTCAAGAACTAAGGAAATGTCCAAACACCCATAGAGACTTCCTAGTTCTTTCTTTGGTATCTTGAAACAGTCCCGTGAGGTTTCTGAAGCCTTTGAATATTTAAGCACTAGACAGCCTGGCAAATGGAAGACAATTAGAAATAAGAAATAGGAGATGGTACCGGGATAGATTTTGTGATATGAATGCAAGTTGGGTTGGAAAACTTAGAATCACCTGACTAAACTCATCCTCCGGACTCAACTCTTTCCTGTGACAAAGGGGCCCATGGGTTCCCAGCGTCTTCTGGGGGAGGCACCAATATATTGTGACATACTTCAAGGAGTAGGTGGAGGACTCTGACAAGCACCCTTGCTGAGAGCACTTTAGGACACTGGGTCACAATGAGGTGTGGTCCCTTTTGCCATGGAGCCAAGCACCGCCCCCCCCAAGCTGATTGGGATGGTCATAATGGTGTCAGAAACAGAACTGTGTAGCATGGAGCAAAAAAGTGCCCCCTAACGGAGCAAGCAGTGGGGTCATTAACTATTAGATCCATCATGCAAGAAACATGAAAGGCAAAGCCCCAGCTTCCTAGAATTGACTATCAGTGTGGTCAAACCAAACAGCAGACTAGAAAGATAGATGATGGGGGGGGGGAGATGATAGATATAGATAGATAGATAGATAGATAGATAGATAGATAGATAGATAGATAGATAGATAGATAGATAGATATAGATAGATGATAGATAGAGGAGAGAGAGATTAGTGTTTTAGTGGATTCAGCTTAGGCCTCTAGAAAAAAAGGCCATGTAAACAGAGCCATGTAAACAGAGTGAGAAGATGCCTGTCTGGAAGTAAAGTTAAATAATCCTCGTTAGAGGCTGCCTGAGTGAATCGAAAGTCGGGTCAGGAGTTGAATCCATGCACTAACGGGTGGTGGTCTGTATTAGCTACTTTTCCATTGCTGTGGTAAAATATCATAACCTAAAAGAACTTACAGAAGAGCCTATTTTGGCTTATGGTTCAGAGTGGGGAGTATGGGTGGGGTAGGGGTGTGGGGGGTGTGTGGGGGTGTACATAATGATGGGGAAGGCTTGGCAACAGGAGACCAGAGCAGGAAGCTCACATCTTCAGAAACAAACACAAAGCAGAGGGAAAGCAAACTGGAAGTGGCTCAAGGCTTTAAGCTCTCAAAGCTTGGCTCAGTGATGGAATTCCTCCAGGAAGCCTTCACTACCTAAAGGCTTTCTAATCTCCCCAAACTGTACCAACTGAGGACCAGGTTTTCAAATACCTGGGCCTATGGGGGACAATTCTCACCATAAGGTCCACATCATTAAGTGACATGCAAAAGCAACTTGTGACCACTGGGTAAGAGACGTTTCATCATTCCTACTGATGGGTGAGATGTGGGATGAGAAAGCACCCAAACCATTGTCTCACATTCCCTGGCATCGCTGTGTACACATACGGCTGGAATGTGAAATGCCCCTCACAGATCCATATGCAAGGGGTCTGGTTGTCTGTTGGTGGACTTCCAGGAAGTAACTGGATCCTGAAGGTTCTGTCCTAATCAATGGATTAATCCCATGATGGATTTGTAATATGATGGCCTTATGGGGAGGTGATTAGGAAGTGGGAGGATGGGTGGGTGGAGACTTGTTGGAGGAAGTCTGCTATTTTGTCCTCGGCTCCTCTCTGCTTCCTGGCTGTCACGAGGTGAGCTGTATTGTTCCATCATGCAATTCCTATCATGATGTTCATGCCCCGGAGCAAGGAAGCCATTTAACCTCAAACCAAAATCTTGGATGATGTGGCTGATGTGTTAATTTTCCAGGGTCACTGTGACAAAGTACCACAAACCAAGCAGCTTGAGCAACAGGAAACATTGTCCTCTCAGCTCTGAAGGCAAGTTTTCCAAAGTCAAGCTACCTGTAGAGAGCCAAGTTCACTCTGAATGCTTTAATAATAATTTCTGCTTCCTCCTTGTCATTTCTGGTTGCTGGCAATGTATGATGTAACTTCACCCAAAATTTCATCACTCCGATTTGGATCTCCATAGTTTCAGTGACTCCTTCCCTAGATTGCCGTGTCTTCAGATCTTAACGATACCAGTCACAAGATTAGGGACTAATATGACCATGTTTTAACTTGAATTCTCCTCTAAAGACCTTATTCCAATTTCCATCACATTCAAAGGTACTGGGGAGGTAGGGTTTAGATGTTTTTGGAGAAAGGACATAATTCAGCCTAAAACAGGTTACATCGAGGTGTCCATTGGGTACCATCAGCACAAATTTCAAGACCCAATTGCTTTCTGAGAGCCTAATGGGTTAGAAATGGTGGTGTTATTTCAGCACTTGGGGAGGAGTGTTAAGGAAGAGGGTCATGAGTTCAAAGACAGCTTGGATAGACAGCAAGACCCTGTTTCACAGTTAACTAGCTGACATAATAAGCCAGGGCTGGGAATGTAACTTAATAGTATAATGATTGTCTGGTCTTTGTGAGGTCTTGTGTTTTATCCCCAGCACTGGTAGGTAAATTATTAAATGTTAATTTAAAAATATAAATACTTGGTTTATATAGTAACGAAATATAGTTTACTCTCTCTGGCTCTTTGGTTTCATTCTCTCTCTCTTCTCTCTCTTCTCTCTCTCTCTCTCTCTCTCTCTCTCTCTCTCTCTCTCTCTCTGTGTGTGTGTGTGTTCTCTCTCTCTTCTTGTGGTGCTGGGGACTAATCCTACATACAGCTTCGTGCACATTAGATACTCCTTTTCTACATTTGTGGAGGGCTCCTCCAGAGTGGGTATCATTCTTTGTATTTATGTCCAGCAAGAGGTAAAAGACCCAAAAGGCGAAAACAAAACCCCCAGGCCAGAAAATGCAAGTACTATTGTATTTAGAAAGGCTGGGAGGGGGCTCTGAGTGGAGTACTGACCTGCTGTAAGGAAATACATCGTCTAAGCCCCGAGTGGCTTCCAAAGGCTTGGTTTCCTAGGAGAGCCACTAAAGTGCTCAGGAGGAGGCAGAGGGGAGGCGCCCAATTCTAAGGTTCTCTGCAGCTGCAGAAGTGTTCGGAACTGGACAGGATGACTAGTCAATGCCAGCTTTCATGGTGTTTATGTTGTAAGACATTGAATTAAAGACAGCATCTTAAATTGTTTTGTAAAATGGCATTTACATGATGGAAAGTGTAAACAATGAATTCTTAAAATAGGATTGCCAAGCCAAAGTAATGAAAAGGTCAGTATGCATAAATTTTCACTTTGTGGACTTCCTTGTCCTCGCATTCCCTCTGTTTGTTGTAGTAATAGAAAGTATTGTCCCTCCGCTGAAGTTTCTTCACGTATCCTGTCTCTGGCCAACGGTCTACCTGCATGGGAAGGATGAGAATGCTGTAATGCCAGTTTTATTTTATATCATATTTCACCATCAAACAATTGCATCAAAATTAAAGTCTGGGGGCTGGAGAGATGGCTGAGGTTAAGAGCACTGGCTGCTCTTATAGCAGTCTTGAGTTCAATTCCCAGCAACCACATAGTGGCTCATAATCACCTATAATGAGAATTGGTGCCCTCTTCTGGCCTGCAGGTATACATGCAGGCAGAACACAAACATAATGAAGTCTGAGATAAACTTAAAATCTGTGTGCTCTTAGGGAAAGCATTGTGTGCATACACATAAAGCAAATATTAGTTTCCAACCTTATTCTGGAAAACACGTACTGAATTGAGTGCTTCTCTTCACAGTCAAGTCTCCAGGTTTTAGTGTCTACATTATGGCCAAGATTGAAGATATGTGTCAAATAATTTAAGATGCATTTTTTTTTTATTTCTAAGTGACTCAAAACATTGTAACTTCAAAAATAAATGCTGCAGGAGTAAGCTGGGAGAGAGCCCAGGGCCCCTGCTGAAACACTATGTTGATCATGGGCTTTCTGCAAGGACCTAAGCGGTGGTTTTCAACCTGCGAGTCTCGAGTCCAAGGACCCTTTCACAGGGTCACATACGGGATATCCTGCATATCTCATATTTGCATTACAATTCATAACAGTAGCAAAATTACAGTTATGAAGTGGCAACGAAAGTAATTTTATGGTTGGGGTCCCCACAACATGAGGAACTGTATGAAAGGGTCTCAGCATTAGGAAGGTTGAGAACCACTGCACTAAAGGCAGGCACTGGACTTGAAGAAGTACCTATGCACTTCTACCCAAGCTTCAAGTTCACCATCAAATCCAATTTTTGTATCCTGCCACTTTACTGAAGGAGTTTATCAGCTGTAGGAGTTCCCTGGTAGAATTTTTGGGGTTACTTATGTATACTATCATATTATCTACAAATAGTGAAAGTTTGACTTCTTCCTTTCCAATTTGTATCCCTTTGATCTCCTTTTGTTGTCTTATTGCTCTAGCTAGAACTTCTAGTACTATATTGAATAGGTATGGGGAGAGTGGACAGCCTTGTCTTGTTCCTGATTTTAGTGGTATCACTTTGAGTTTCTCTCCATTTAATTTGATGTTTCAAGCCCAATTTTTAATAGAAACTTGAACTCACACAGTCCTCAGAAATCCTTCCCTTCTCCCCACCATTCCTTGTTCTTACTCTGATTTCTTTATCATTTGCCTTGCTCTAACTTGTATGTACTTTCTTCCTCTCCAACTTCAGTGTTGCGCTCTCTTGGCCAGGTTAATGTGTGGTGGCTGTTTGTTTCAGACAGTGTTTCATGTATTTGCTGTCTGTGCTACATAGCCCAAGGATGACCTTGAACTTCTGACCATCTGGCCTCCACCTGGGGATTACAGGCATGCAATTACCTCCATGCTCAGTTTATGTGGTGCTGGGAATGGAGCCTAGGGTGGCTTCCTGCATGCCAGGCAAGCATTCTACTAACAAAGCCACATCCCCAGCTGCTGCTGCTCTGTGTGTGTGTGCGTGTGCGTGTGCGTGTGCGTGTGCGTGTGTGTGTGTGTGTGTGTGTGTGTATGTGTGTGTTCTTTTAGGAACTTGTTAAGTCAAAAGTAATAACTTCTTTGGGGCCATAACTCATCACAGTGCATTCTGGAACCCAATGTGTTCTTTTTATTGATAAAAATGTTCCTTCTGAAATTTGTGAAATGCACTTTATCATTGTCAAAAGTCCAAATCCGGTTCTGGAAAATCAAACCCTTTTCTTTAACAGGACCAATACAGGCTGCCCTCCCCTTTCACATTCCTCCTATAACAAACACAGTGTGCAACTGGAAGAAAAGAGGACATGACTTGGGGATCTGTGTCTATTATTTTCTAGCAACTTGCCCCTTTTCCTTTTCCTTTTCCTTTTCCATTTCTTTCACCCGCTTTGGTTTGAGACAAAGCCTCCTGACATAGCCCAAGCCCAAGTGCTTCAACCTAAGCTCCTCCCTCAGTCTCGAGAGCGCTGGGATTTCAGGCATGTGCCACAATGCATGGATCTTGCATTTTCTCTCGTCTGCTTCAGTTATTTATCAGTAGAAACAGACCCCAGCACATCCGATCTGCACGGCAGGTCCAGCTGCATTTACTTTGTAGGAAAGCAGCTAATGTTTCTAATACTTAAGCCAAAGCTGCCACCAGCAGGGAAAAGGAGTGTCCTCAAGATGCCTGGACAGGTTCTTATCCCTTCTCCAGATTCCAAAGACACCCCTGTTAGTGTATAAACAGTGCACTTACCAGATCTGCGGCACATTCAAGGTTTATACAGGAGGGAAAATTCAAGGTTTATATAGGAGGGTAGAAGGTCAAATAGAGAGGCACCCAATGGTGTAAGCTATCTAGCTTGCTATCTCCTATGTAAAATGAGTTAATTGTAGAGTGTAGCTACAATGGATATGGTGTTTGCATCTGTAATCTGTCTGGGAAGTGGATGTAGGAGGATTGACACAATTTGAGGCTTTTATCTACATAGTGAATTCAAGGCCAGCCTTGTTAGAGAGATCTTATCTTAAGAAACAAAAAAAAAAAAGGAAAGAAAAACAAAAGACACCAATATATTCAGCCTCTTTCTAATTCACTGTCAAAATAAGCAGAGGGGAATGGATCATTTACCACAACTGAATACATGATAATAGTTAGCAGAGTAAGGAAAAGGACTGTTTGAAGATTCACATATGTGAGAGCACAGTAGTTCAGAAAGTGTGCAGGTGCCCAGCCAAGGGACCACATTGTCCCCCAAGTTGTAGACCACCTTTATAGGCTTCAGTATCCCTCCCTTCAGATGAGAGTCTCAGAGATTTCTCTGCAGCTGTACTTCGTTACTGTTATTAAAATACATTTCACCATCTGCGAAACTGTTTTTTTTTTATCAAGTTTGAAGAGCAGTAAATTTTACCATAGCAACTTGGTTCACTTGTTTATATTCGATCTCATCCCGATAGCCTGCTTGCTGAAATCTATACAGGTTTTCTATTTCTTCTGACCATTTCTTGGCGCGACTTATTGATTTCGGTTTCACATCAGAACTCGCCATGGCTACGGAGGCCTTCCTAGCAATTATTTCTGAAAGAGGTTAGAACAATTTCATAGGTAACATGATTACAATTTTCAAAACCTTTAGGGTGAACAAAAATGACTGAAGAAAAAATATGGAACCTCAGTAAACATTTCACATTTTAACATTCATTTCTAAGACTGTTATTTTTGGGAAAACAAAATGATGCACCCAAAATACTTTTAAGTCCTAGAAGACACACAGAGAATAGTTAATTTCATCATCAAAATTGCATTTGGAGTTATGAATTAATGTTCTAAATAGCCATTCTTGGTCTCTGGACACTAATAGTGTACATTTATGAAAAGATATTGTCATTTGTATTTATCAATATACTCTCAAAATATCCCCCCACTATTCCATTGATTTATATTCTCTCTTCCTCTCCTTCTCCTTCTCTATTAAAAAAGGACTGTAAGGACAATCACTCTTAGCAAGGCATGGTGATGGACTTGGGAGGCTGAAGTAGGAGCAGCGGAGGTGAGGCCAGCCTGGGCTGCTTACAAATCAAAAAAGAAAAGGCCCTCCCTCTTCTTCTCCCCTTTCTTGTTCCCGAGGCACACCTTCCATTATTTTCTTGGCTCCCAGTGTCACACTGTCCTCTGGTAGACTAATGTGGGAAGACAACTGGACAAGTTCCATGCTAATTGTTTGTTATGTTAGATTATGGATTTGAAATGGCGTGGGTGGTTACTACTGATCCAGGACATTCAGCTCTCCAAGCCTAGTTTACATTGTCTACTTACCAAACTTCCATTGCTGAGTTTTTCTCCTGGTTCCTGGGATTAAACTCAAGACCTTGTGAGTGCCAGACAAGCATTCTACCATTGAGCTGCATGCCCAACACCAGTCAGTTTTTCCAAGGCATTGTCTTGTATTTATTTTTCTCAAATACTTATTTTGTTACAAAAAGTCATTTAACTGACATAAAGTACCCAAAATTTTCACCATGGATTCCTTGAATCCATTCTATTAATGTTGTTTGTCTAAAATTCATTGTCACACTTCATAAAGATGATCCTAAAGGGAATTTATGTATTTTCAATCATGGTAACAAATTCTCATTAGGTTAACTTTTTAAAAGGTCAACAAATACATTAAAATACAATGGATAGAAAATGGAAAATTGTCCTCATGTCAATTAGAAATATTTCTCCTTGACAGTGGGTGAACATCATCCCAAAGATGGGCAGGCTCACAGCAAATGCCTTTACAAATGGAATACATTTAGCTTTTACAGAGGGAAAAATCAGAAAAGGAAAGAATGGCGGACTTGCTGAACCTCCTTGACTGTTTCCCCAGTGTGGAAAAATGTAGCCTTCAAGTCTCTTTTCATGGTTAGTAAAAGGGAGACTATCCGGAGGCTAGGCCCTTGGTTTAGTTTCCAGTATCAGTTACACCCAAGTACTAAGAGCAGCCTAGGAAAGATGAGGAACTTGCCTATGCTCTTTCTACATCCTCTGGATCTTTTGCTACATTACTTACATTATTATATCTAAATAAAAGTCTGTTTACATTCCATTTGGAAATCATATTCCCACCGTAGTTCAGTTTAGCTTCAGATTTAAATTAATTTAAATGAAATCACTGGAATTGTATAATTCTAATTCTGATAAAAATAGTAACCACATACCAGACAAAGAATCAGTATTGGTTTTTGCAATTTTTTCCAGTGTGCAAACTGACATGCACATTGGTTAGACTTGGGAAAATTAGGCTTTTGTTAGAGTGTGAGTTTTTTTTTTTAATAAATAAATGTAATTTTCTTTCTTTCTTTCTTTCTTTCTTTCTTTCTTCTTTTTTTTTTAAAGATTTATTTATTATGTATACAGTATTCTGTCTGCATGTATCCCTGCAGGCCAAAAGAGGGTACCAGATCTCATTACAGATAGTTGTGAGCCACCATGTGGTTGCTGGGAATTGAACTCAGGACCTTTGGAAGAGCAAGCAGTGCTCTTAAGCTCTGAGCCATCTCTCCAGTCCCAGAGTATGAGTTTTTAACAACTTTTGTCTCAGTATTTTAGATTCAGGCTCATGTTGCATCTTATTGATTTCATTGTTATGGTATTGTAAGAGTTTTTGTAAAATCTGGAAAGCCCTCTAAAACAACCCAGTTTCTTGTTTTATAAATTCATTCATTTCACTGTGAAGTCTGTCACATCGCCAATGCACCATACACTAGTGATGACTAATAAGTGAGTTGGAAATATGTAGTAGAGCTTGGTAATCCATTTATATAAGGGAGATGAATCAACACACACATATTAGAAAATATGGTATGAAGAATCATGAGAGTGAAAATGGGAATTCATTATATTAAAAATACATTCAAGCAGGGTGCAGTGGTACACATGTTTAATCCCAGCACTTTTGAGGCAGAGATAAATGAGTCTCTGTGAGTTCCAGGACAACCAGAGCTACACAGTGAGATTGTCTCAAAAACAAACAAAACAAACAAACAAACAAACAAACACCACTCAAGTGGCTAGAGAGACAGCCCAGTGCTTACAAGTTCTTATTGTCCTTGTACAGATGAAGTTTGATTCTCAGCACCAAGTCAAGTGCTCACAACCACCAGCCTTTCCAACCCCAGGGAGACCCATCACCACCCTCTACTGGCCTCCTCGGGCACTGCACTCATGTGTGCATGCCCTCTTAGACACACCCAAACACAGGTCATTAAAAATAATTTTAAAATAATAAAACCTTTTAAAATATTCAAAATTAGTCACGTCTTTCTATGAAGTTGGTGGCTGAATCACTTTGCTGCTTCTACAGCCAAAGCTTGTATTCTCAGGGCAGTGGTTCAGGGTTAGTTCTGTTTCCCCGTCATTTTTACTTAGCTGTTTGATATGCAATAAGATCCTTCGATTTGCTTGTGTCGTTCAAAACTATTTTCCTGAGTGTCATGTCACTTTCAGGTTAAGCAACTGTGTTAACTAGACACCTAAAAACGCTGCATGTTATGGAAGGGTGGAAAAGATGCTGACGCAGTTGATGTTGCAGGAAATTACAGTTTTTCTTGGCAGGAATGCCCATCTTAAGGATATTACCAGACATTTGGAATTTAATGTGAATTTCACCATAACAGAAAAAGTAAATTTAGTGCCTGCATTAACTATGCTATGAAGTGGTGGTGCAAATTATATTGTAGTTATTAAAAACAAACCAAGTGAGTCTTGTGAAGTTCTGTGCTTGAGATGGCGCAGCCAGACTGCCTGACCAGAGCTGAGTGACTTCAGGTGTTGCAGTTCAAACGCCATCCGGGACTATCCTTAGGTGCTGCACAGCCATTTGCTCTCAACCTCTGGGTCTGACCTCTGGGTCATCACATGTAAAGGGTATGAAAATATCGATGCTTTGATATTTGACTTGTTGCCAGAAAAATAATCCCCAATTTTTTGTGAAAGAGATTTTTTTCATTAATTTTTTTGCTCTTTAAATACACTACCACAATAACAATTATACATTTTTTCCGTTTTTGTTTTCCAGTTTTGCTCAGATAAAAATACCTATGCGTAATATTTTTAAAAGTAAATAAAAAATTGTTATAGAATAAAAACACACTTCTATAATACATATGTGTATCACTACAAACAGGAAGTGGCAATGCTTGAGTGTCTATGTTTTAGTAACTGAATTTCATTAAGCACTGTGAAGGGCTATATGTGCACTGGAAAAAAAGAAACCCCACCAATCTCAAGTCCCTGACAAATTAAGTTCTAATGTAACAGCAGACACCTGTGACCTGCCGCCTCGCGTTCTACAAGAAGGAACTGACAATTTAAATAGACTGTTTGTGCATACCTCTTAAGTCCCATTTCGTTTCTTCCTCTACTTAACCCTAAAGCTTATCTCAGCGTCTCAAACACAAACCTGGGTCCCAGGACCCTTTTCCTTATTACTTTGCCCGTGTGCCACCTTAATTACCTCTTTCTCTACTTTTCACGTTGAGCGTCTCTTAAATTGGTGTTATTAGGGATGGATGGCTGAGTCCTGCCTGCTGTCGCTGAAGCTTTTGTCCCATAACTCTAATAACATGATAACATTCCTAATCTTACAAACCCCAACTCTCCTCACCTTATTTCATTATTTGTGCTCCAAGCAGGTGGCGGGATATAACTGAGGATCCCTTTAAACTACATGTAAACTTTGGCCAAGACAATGAACAAAAGCCGGGACTGTTTTCTGAATCCAGCTCTCACACTGGGTTCGAAACAGAACACCATTCTCCAAACCCAGTCTTCACACTGGGTGTTCATTTTAAAGACAAAAGTGCCGCCCCGCGCCCCGACCCTAAGCACTCCGTTATGGTCGGTCCACAGTCCATATGTGACAATTTGCGTTTGTGGAGCAATAAAGCCACCCTTACGAGGGTTCCCCACAGCTAGCGTTCTCTGCCTGCCAGAAACCACTTTCTTTTTGCCATAAATCACGATATCTGTAAGGTATAACCTGCCCAGAAGAAGCTGGGCAAGAGACAATCCTCTGAACCCAGGCATTACAGGGCAGAGCCATTACAGTAGCCAATTTGGGGAGCGGAAGAATTTAGCTGGGGAGCCCATCCAAAGATGTAGGAAGGGCCAAAGGAAGACCGCCCTAAAAGAGAAAACCCAGGTACCAGGGCGGCCGGGCGGAAGGGGCGGGTCCTGCGCTCCCGGGGCGGGGCGGAGCCAGGGGTACGGCGGTCAGGGCCCAGGTCCTCGCTGCTCATCCGCTCAGGCCCGGCTCCCGCTATCCGCGGTTACCCTCGCTCAGCCGGCCTCGCAGGAGGGCGCAGCGGTGCTCGTGTTCTCTACTCGGGATCGTGGGCTGAGTCAGCCGGAGGCCAACTGTTGCGGCTGTTGCCGCCCGCGCGTCTCCTAGCAACGCAGCGACGCCGCTCCGCCCGCTCACGTCGGCGCCGCCCGGCTCCCGCCGGCCCCGCCCCCTGCTCCTGGGTCTTTGTGCGCCCTTTAAAGGGCTAGCCTGGGTTGAGGAGGTCGGTGTTCCCGAGTCAGAGGGCGCCCCAGCTGAGCCCTCTTCACTGCTGGGATGAGGCGGAGACTCCAGACGTGTTGAATGAAAGCATTTGAAAGACTAGAGATCGCAGAGGTTCTGGATCCTGATAGAAGATAAGTGTCAGTGTGTGTGTGGATTCTAGGAATCCGTCCAGCATGGTGTCTGAGAATAACTAAACGAAAGTTAACTAACACCTATAGCTTTATTTTCCCATCAGTATCTTCAGTAATAGTTAATGTATCACCTATTTTGGTGAAAAGTGATTCAAGATCAGTATTTTTGAGCGCAGAGCCGTGATGATTTGCTAATAAATAGAGGGCGAAAGGGAAAGGGGCGGTGAGTGGGAGCCAGCTCAATGAGAAGACCCAGAACCGATAGTTAACTGAGAGGGCTGGGGAGCCAGACCAGAGCCATGACAGATTTCTAACAGCCCTACCAGGGACCAGGCCTTAGTTTC